ATGAGAAAAACTATTGTTTATACTTTTTATTTTACTGAGATATAGAGATCGAGCTAGTTTTAGTTCTGATTGAGAACATCAAAAAAGAACGTGTTCTTCATCACCTATTGTATTTTTTGAATTACAAAAGAAACAAAATCGTTCCGATTTTTCTACTTTGAAGTATCGACCTCGTTCAATTGGGAAGTTATGCATCGATAACCGTACCTTAGCAATAGATTGTCTATAGGTGGAGTTCTGTAAATTTAGATAACTTTCTCTTTTATATGCATGTTTTACTAGTTTATAGCTTCTGAATTTACCTGGAGCATCATTTGGTCTATTGATGTCTTGGATAAACCGCTTTTGTATTCTTTTTCTAAAGGAGGAGGGAAGTTAGCGCAACAGATTTTGGACAGTCATATGTTTGATTTTGGCCATTTCCTGGGGATTTAAACAGTTGCATATGTTAGGCGAATTCATTACCTCCAGGAAAATCACTCCTAGAGATGATAAAATAATTTTGACTTTGAGACAGGGTAGATGCAAACAACCCACCCATTCCATTCCCTTCCATTCTTGCTTTTTTAATTTTTCTTGCATCAATATGTTGCGTTTTGACACACAGTTAATCCCTGAAAAGGAATAAATGATTCCTTTTAGGTAAAGTGGAAAACAATATTTCCCATGTTATTTTCCCATAGGAAAAATCATTGCTTTCAGCTAAGTTTGGTCACCCATAATGGGTATCTTTAAAACCCCTTGAGGAATCACGTATTCCTTTAAAGTGGTTAACTATGTGTCAAAATGCAACATATTGATGCAAGAAAAATTAAAAAAGCAGAGATGGAAGGGGTCGAAAATTAGGAAAACATTTCAGAAAAAAACATGTGGGTGGGTTGTTTGCATCTACCCTGTCTCAAAGTCGAAATTATTTTGTCATCTCTAGAAGTGATTTTCCTGGAGGTAATGCATTGGACTAACATATGCAATTGTTTAAATCCTCAGAAAATGGCCAAAATCAAACATATGACTGTCCAAAATCTGTTGCGCTAATTTCCCTCCTCCTTTGTCATTGTAGATTTAATTAAATTATCAATTTTGACTTTATCGCATGTATAGATTTTTTGTATATCAATATTAATACTCGGGGACAGGGACACAGGGCACAAGAAGGGGTAATTGCTGCTAAGTTTATGATATAAGTTGACAAGACAAAATGTGGCTACATTTTTGGCTCACACAGTGAGTCTATGGGATTGACCAGGCATCCATCTGTAGGTCCGTCCGTCAACATTGGCTGCACAAATTAAAACTGCTATTCGGATTGAGATATATTCACATCCATTTTATGCATATCCATAATGCTTATTTGACCTATCATCGCCATTTCCCAAGTTCGCCCGGTTTCCGGAAATTGCTAATTTTGACGTCAAAAAGTCAAATTTTCTGTGAATACTAGACACTTTGTTGAAGTAGAACTTTCAAATAACTTGTAGTAGTTGCTGTATATGCAAATTATGTCCTCTGAAGATTTCAGGGCTCTTGGAATTATAGTTTTTGGTGTTTACTCTATAAAATTTGACTTAGTCATTTTCAGGAACTTTCTCATGTATAAAGTCAATGGCAGGTTTTGTGATTGACAAGTTTCTCAAAGTTTGCCTTATACTTGATCATTTCTTGCAATGAATTACATCATTACTAGATTTAAGCATTCCCTACATATTGCTCAATATATGCCAGCATCAAATTTTTACCATTTTTGAGATATTTGACGTCAAAAAACAGTAAAAATAAGTTATTTTTCAACTTGCTTCAATTTGACCAATTGTTTTTGAAAATCATTTACAAGTTGCAAGGAGTTCAAATCTGACATTAGTTTTAGGATTTGACCTTTACTTGACCTTCAGTGACCTTTGAACGGTAAAAAAAAGTTGATTTTTCAAATTGACTTTTGGATGTAAATTTTGGTCAGCTTAATCACAAAAGACCTTACTGAGCTCTGAATAAGTAAAATTTTCAAGTTCAAAGCTCATCGAACTAGGTCACGCAACTGTGCTTTCTAAGTTTCTCAAAGGTTCGAGACTACAAATCCAAATCAATATTTTTGTTTGAAAGTCAGGATATACATTCCTCTGAAGATTCCAAACTGTTTGAGCACAGGACCGTTGGTCCTTTATTATGTAACTTTTCCAGTCAAAGAATTCATCAATTGTTATTCCCAAAAAATGTATTTCTTGAACCCTATTGATTTGTTTTCCATTTATGAATATTTCGATTTTATGACAAACCTTTTTTCTTTTTGGAGAAGAGGTTAAATTTTTTTGGGAATAGTTTAAAGAAAGAAGGTTTGCTTTAAACCAGTCATCAAGAGTAATAAGTTCCTTGCAAATAAAACAGATTTAAGACTTTGTGATGCCATGTACAGGTCATTAACATAAATAACAGATTCCAAACATATAATACCAAGAACAAAATATAGAGAAAAGTATATATATATACAGGGTGTTCAATAAGTACTGATAAAAATGCTGTAACTTTTTTATATTTTATATATCTTACTAATTTTTCTAGTGTGCATTGTTGAGTATTATACTGATGTACTCTGAAAGTTACATTACTTTGCTCCAGGATGCTGGTAATGGGTTGAGCCAAAGGTGGTAAATGGTGGATCAGGTCTGCACGAAAAAAGTATCAAAATGACCAACTTAAAATGTGAATATTCCTCCTCAGTCAATTGCTTGCGAACCCCCTTGTCACACATTAATGTCATCTCTAAATCATTATGAACTATGTGGTGTGTGGGACCAACACTTGAATCAGTCATGTCTGCAATTTTTCTGATAGGAATTTATCCAATATTTCTTTTATCGTATGAATTTGACTAGAGGAACGATATATGCCAGGGGTAGATATAGTGTCCAGTGTCCTTTCCATAAGCTTCATCCTGTTTTGATTTATCTAGAAGTATATAGAACTTGGTGCTGCTTCTAATTTGATGCTGAATATCATTGATATTCTGTTCTGCAGTCATGTTTTTGATGGCATTATTTCTGCTAAGTCTGTGTGATGTAATTTCCCCGTGAAGTCATCTGATCTTAAATTGCTCTGTTATATCATGGGCTCACCGTGATATGTAATTGATTTCTTATGAATTGCTCCGTGATTTCATTTCCACCTGCGATTTTCTCTTTGATGTCATCAATAGGTGCTGCCAATGGGTCTTAGTACTAGTGTTTATTCCCAACTGTCAAAATGGATTCAAAAATAAAATTATGTATGAAAATGTTCACATTTAAAGGCAGTTATTTTGAAAAAAGCTTCGAGCAGACCTGAACCATGACGAACCACCTTAGGCTCCACCTAGTACCCACTTCCTGTTAGAGTACTTACTTGTAACTTTCACAGTACATCAGTACAATACTCAACAGTGCACAGTAGGAAAGTTAGTCAGAAATATAAAAATTTGAAAAAGTTACAGAATATTTATCAGTACGCCCTGTATATATTTTAAATCAAATTGTTACCATTCAAAAGATGATCATTAAATTGACGATGCACAAAGTTTTCAGAATTTTTTAATGACTGGTTTAAAAGAAACATGTGTTCCATTCAGTTCACCATATGGATACCAATCCTCTGAGGTTAAGAATACTATAATCTCACATCAAATAGTGCTAGAAAAACAATGACAATATCTTAGAAATTGCTTAATTGGTACTGCTTGACGCTTGTTCATTGTTGCCAGTGGCATTATGTCTTCTTAAAATAGGGGAATTTCAAATATTCCAAAAAGAAAAGTGTCTAAGAAATCACCCTTTAACCTAAATGTAGGCATGGAAGGGTGTCAGTTAACACCACCCATTAAAACTTTTGAAAGGTGCTCAAGACAAAACTTGATTCAATTAAATTGAGAACTCCAGAATGTTTCACGTATCACTCCTACTTCACATGAAACCACTGATAATATCTGAAGTCCTGACAAGGTCATACAAATGCATATACAAACACTTATGTCCTTAGTACATTTCATTTAATCCTATTGATTAATGTTTGTTTATCTATTTTTACGAGGATCTTTAGACTCAAAAACAAGTTTGATAATAAGTGCAATGTATAATTAAACATTATATGCTGGGTTAGTTCTACCTTTAAGCGCTATTGTGTCATTTATACCTTGATGGAAATTTCCTTTTGTGTCTCATACCCTATACAGACATAAACAATGTGATGTGTTTACATAACAGGACAATTGATGTTCAGAACTCGGTGATAGTAAATAATCACATCATTACCAGGAAAAAACTTTTCTTCCTCATATGTTCAAGATTGATATTTGGTAAAATGTTTAAGTGAGACAAGTGCCTTTAAGCCTGGCCTCGATAAACCAAGTTCAAGAAATGTGACTCTTCTTAAATAAAATGATTAATTGATTACTTGTTTAACAAAATTTCCCCTATTATATCGGTCTCTGACTGAATATCAGTCATGAATCATTTTATTCACTCTGTTTTGTTTATCCCTTTTGCAGGCCATGTTGTCCAGTGAGCTAGAATATATTTCTGTAGGGGAATTGCATGCATATATACTTCTGACATCAAAGAGAGAGCAATCCATTGAATCAGAATGTAAAATTTTATACTCCTCTTTCAATTAAACCATGATCAAGGTCAGATCGATCAGAATTATACATTGCATAGTGAGCTAGTGTTGTTGGGGACTCAATTTTATTGAATTTTCCAAATTGAGAGCAGCCATTCAGATGTAGAGTAGTATTAACGTCATTAATTTAATGAATTTTCCAGGCCAGATTGCTCAAAATGATGCGCTGCGTACTGAACTAGAAGGTGTTGTGGAGGGACTCCAGACATATCTTTGCACAAAATGATGCCTTGCGTAGTGAACTAGAGGGTGTTGTAGGTGGACTCCAGACATATCTTCACAATGTTAAACAGAGGGCAGCCAATCAGAATGAAGCATATAATTCACCTTTAATTCACTTTTATTAATCCATGTTCCAGGCCAGGTTGCACAGAATGATGCATTGCGTAGTGAACTAGAGGGTGTTGTAGGTGGACTCAAGACATATCTTCACAATGTTAAACAGAGGGCAGCCAATCAGAATGAAGCATATAAGTCACTGCAGAATGAGAAGGATGCATTAGAGGAAAGATTACATAACCTTGAGAAGGAGATGGGCATCATGGATTCAGAGGCTGGAGGTTATATGAAATTAAGAGAAGTATGTCCAATGTTTTAAACCTAATAATATTTGATCAGATACTGACTACACATCCTCTGAATATTGGGATTCAGACATCATCTCTCATGTTTCTTCCTGCATTCTGATGATGCTGAGTACAAAAAATGGACTGTGAACTTTGTAAATTATGTTGTTTGAAATCAACCATATCTTTCTATTGCAATGTGGTTATAGTGTATGCTCTAATGGCCGGACCACTCGTCATTACCAGGTTACTTAGTTTTCACTAGGTATAGGAAAAAAATTGCAGCTGGTCTGTAATTCCATTTTGACCAGCAACTCTCAGATCCTTGGGGCATTCATACACGGTGTGGTTACCTCATGAAGTTAGGAAAAATTGTGATATGTAAAAACTTATGCATGAAAAGAAAGATAGAACAAGAGGTCTGTATATTTATAAATATATATATACCACTGCTGCCATCTTTCTTTCTGGGCACATTACTCTTGATCATATTGGAGCCAAGTAGTTGTAACATTGATAACATTGATGTAGCTGCTGTCTTTTCCTTTTCTACGACTGGTTTACTCTTAAACTTGTTCCAGTGGCCTCATGGATATAGGCACTGGACTGCTGCACCAGCTTTTGGTGGATCGAATCCCGGTCATGCCCAAGATTTTTTTCTCTTTTATTTATCTCTGTGCCACAATATTTTATTTAGATCTCTTTTTATGATGTTTTCTTTTTTTGCTGTGTTCTGTAACAATTTTTGGTTATTTTCCTTTAGGACACTGTACCTACACATTGGAGACATAATCAAAACACAATCCATTGAGCCTCATGGTTATAATAAAATGCTATGTATTTAATGAAATGGATTGCAATATATTTTTCAGAAATTGCATAACCTTGAAGTATCCTTACATACAAAAGATGAAGAAAATCAGATGCTGAAATCACAGCTTGATGAAACACTCTCTGCTGATGCAAACATTGATCGTGACATAAAATTAGCTCAAGAAGAAATTGAGGCTCTGAGACATAGCCTTAAAGCAGCAGAACAAAAATCAATGGCTGATAAACAAGTTTTGTTAAATAAACTTGAAAATGAACAAAAGAGGGCAGCACAGGCTGTTGATAAATTAAAACAGGTAGATGTTGGAAAAGATATGATGGCCAACAGAATAAAGGAGCAACTTGAACACATGCAGGCTAGTGTATATTTTTCAATTGTCTCATGTCATTCCATTCCCTTATGTGTAATTCTATTGCTTTATCTGTAATAGCATTGCCTTTTGGTAATTTTATTGATTTATGTGTAATTCCATTGCATCATGTAAAATCCCATCACCACATACATAATTCCATTGCCTTGTATCAATTTTATTCCCTCATATTTACCTCCATTGTGTTGTGTTCTGCCATACAACATATTTGATTCCATTTCCCAATGTGTAATTCCATTGTCTTTTGTGTAATTCCAGGCAGCTAACACAGAGCTTCAATCCCAGTTACAAGAAAGAGACAATGAGATCCAAGAGTTACTCAACAAGTCAACCCAGCCTCAACATATTCAACAGAAACTACAGGACATGATGGAAAGCATTGATGCAGGCCAGGTGTGTTCATCTAAAAATTAAATCATTCTCAATGCCACCATTTCTTTCCTTATTTTATTTACATACTGTACTCCCAGTAATTTTCGCGCGCTACCATATTTTGCTAGATTAGGAAAATTCGTATAATAGCCTTGAAATTCTAACAGTTCTAATTTGCGAAATTTAATAGTTGCGAAATTTCAAGGAAATCCCCAGGGATTTCACTGTTGACATTATTTTGGTCCAGTGCTGGTCGATAAAAGGTAAAAAAGTAACATTTCGAGTTTTGGAAAGAGAAATTAGATGAAAGATCGTTATTACGGTATTAAAATGAACATTCTAACGAAATGGCTTTATTAGAAGCCAAAATCATCAGGCGAAGGAACAACAATGGCTGATATCGAAGTAGAAAGAGTGATCTTGTATGACAAATCCACAAAAATTAATAGCCGCAAAATTTCAAAAAACTGAAAATTAGCAAAATATAATAGCCTCGAAATTTCAAAATGCCAAAAACGTGAAATATAATAGCGTCAAATATTAGTGGGAGTACAGTATTTATAGTGACAAAATACACTGATCTCCCAATTTCTGTACAATTTTATACCATCAGGTCTGCATTTAATTGAGTTGGGGTAATGCGTATACACGTATAAGGTGGCTTTGATTAAACCTTTTGAGATTAAATAAGAGGTAGATTAAAATTGATAACAGAATATACATTATTTGGCCTACATATAAATAAGATTGCATATTTTTCTCCAGGCACCAGATGAATCCATATTTGAAGAACCAAATGAGGTTAATGAAGCTTTAATGGAGATGCAGCGCCAGCTAGTGGACAAAATATACACTAGCCAGGCAGATGTGAAGAAAGCTGAGAAAGAGAAATCAAAGGTATTTTCTCATTTAATGGAAGAAATCAAATTAGATTAATTAACAGGGAAAGTTAAATTTGAACTTGTATATGGTTAGAACATTTCATGAATTAAAAGTATATGTAAAAAACAATGTTTTAGTTTGATCATGACTGTTTTCTGGTTTAGGCCGAGACAGAAGTAAGAAAATTGAGAGAACAACTCTCAAAATTGAACCAAGCTAACACCACACAACCTCAACAGAACTCAAGCAATGACAATGATGACACAATAGCTCAACTACAAGAGGAAATATCTCAGCTAAAAGATGCCTTGAAACAGTCTAAGCAAACCACTGGTCTACCTAACCACTTCCTTGAGCCTACACCTCGTAGTGACCATACCAGCATTTGGGGCTCACAAAGGGGACCTCTGAGTGGCATAGGAGGCTCACAGTGGGGTGCTATGAGTGATGATTCAGATGTTATTGAAGAGAATGCCATTTATGAGCAACTGCAGAATGAGTTAGAAGATCTGAGAAATAGACTTGGAGAGAAGGATAGACTGGCATCAAAACAGGTGAACAAATTCATTTTCATATATAGATCTACATCTACATGTATTTAAATTAATAAATGCAGAGGGGAAAACTGTGCAATCGAAAAATCAGAATGGATCATAAATGAGAACTAGTAACATAAACGCAATGATCATTTATAAATTGACTTGTAAAAATGACCAAAGTGGTTCTGCTAACATGCTGTTGAATATACAGTATTATTTGGAAGGAATTAACAACTTGTATAAAACTGCTTCTATTGATTTTCAAGGCTTTGAATGCAGAGAATGAGATGCTCAAATTGAAGAGAGAGTTGGACAGAAAAGAACAGGAGTTAGAAAATGCTAGAAGTTTTCATGGCACACAAGCTAGCCATCCTTCAGTCGATGATCACTATAGAGACAGAGATCACCATGGCAACCAAAATTTTAATGGTGTTACCTATGATAGAAGGTCAGTAGGAAAATTATGATAGGTGACTGGATCAAAACAGTTACAATTTGACTTAAGTTCTCACTAATAACATTTTTTATGTCACAAGCAAAAGTGGTCATAAATTTATGGTCTTCAACTTAAATGCCTTGCTTAATAAAAGGGTAATCCCTAATTCCAGAAATCAAGGACAAAACAAAGCAACCCAACAAGGCAATCCACAACATCACCATAGCAACCAATATGATTACCCTCACAACTCAGGTCAAAACTTCCGCAATGGCCACCCTAGTGAACCTTCTAGCTGGGCAACCCAGACTATTCTCCACCAAAGGGGTGGTCAAATCCCTCCTGAAGAAGACCCTATAGTTAGGGAGCTACATGGGGAGCTTGAAAAAGCTCAAGATGACATAACAGAACTTGTTCAACTCCTAAAGGAGAAAGACCACGACTTGCAGGATACAATGGCACATTCAGGAAGGTCAAATCAAATTGTTGGTATGCATCACATCTGTCTAATTCCTATTTATTGTTGTCTTATGTTTTAATAATGAGAACACATTTGGGAACACTGATTTTACTATTTTATGCTTTGTCAAGTCAAACGCTTGTAAAATACAGTTTTGAAATTTACAAACATAAATGTTTAGTTGGTCTAGGGCCATCTTGCTCAAGTTCTTGGATGGCCAATATGTTTATATTTTTACAAACTAAATTATTTTTGAATTTTATGTTTCAGCTGCCAAAGAAGAAGAAATTGAAAGATTGCATGATTTGTTAGAAGATCAGAGAGGGGAGATAGAACGGCTCAATGATATTCTACACAGATTAACTGGAAAACCTCCAGGTAATTATTCCAACATGATTCAATTGTTTTCAATGAACAAAATGTTTATACATAAATGTACACATAAAGTATTGAAAGTTTTAAACACTAAACATTTATATTCTTATATTTTAGTGAATGTGTAGTCAGAAAATTCGCTGTAGGTGTTATTTAACAGTGATATCTATTTAAAACATTATTTTTATCAGATTGTTTTATAACAATTTTTAATTTCAGGGACAGATAAGGATGCTGAGATTCAGCAATTACGTCATGATATTTCACGTCTTCATGACCATGTGGCTCCCTCTATAAGCAGTGATAACCATGACAACAGAGTTCCAAATGGGTACCATGGTAATGGTGCTCCAAGAGAGAGGCAGGTGCATTTTAATCCATCAGTACAAATACAACCTGATGAAAACAATCAAGTGCCATACAACCTTCCGTCCACAAGAGATTTATTCCAAGTGGGAGTGAATGGAAGAGCCTATAATTCACAGGGAGGCAATTTCTTTAGTGGAACAGCAAGTATAGATGGCTCTTATAGACCATATGATGGAACCAATGCCCCGATACCACAGGATATGGGACAAGCAACAGCAAATGTAGGACACATGGCATCCAATATGGAACATATGGCTTCAAATAGTAATCAAATTCCTGCAGGAACAGGTGGTACTTATACTGGAAAAGTGAATTCAAATATGGGACAACCAACTTCAAATATGGTCCAAATGCCAGCTACTATGAGTCAAATGACATCTCATATGCCAAACATTCCAAATATTCAAATCCCTGTAACATTCAGTCAGATTCCTACAACACACATTCCTTCAGTACATTCCAGTGTCGTTCCTACCATCATTCAACAAGGAGCTCCATTCCCTGCTGTATCCCAAGTAGCTCTGACCACTGCTGTCACACAGCAAGGAGCTCCACCAGCTGTTGTCACTCAACATGTAGCTCCACCTACTACTGTCACTCAACAAGTGGTTCCACCTCCTACTGTGCAACAAGTACCTTTGACCACTGAGGGTCTCCCTGTAACAGATGATGGCCTCTATTGTAATGTGCCAGAACATCATGAACTAGTAGGTTATCCTTCTTAAAAAATTTAGGCCTAACAACTTAGTATTTATTCACTCTTTTATTTCTTACTGAAAATATTAGACATTTTAATTTAAGAAAAACTTAAATCACTTGAAAACTTAATCATAACTTGGATCATGAATTAATTTAGGGGTTTTAAAGATAATGCATTCATTTATTTCTAGGAGGATTATGTGAGTGAACTACAAGACAAGATTAAATTACTCAAGGAGAAACTGGCAATAGTTAAGGTATGTGGCCTGGTTGACTAAGCCATCCATTTTATTGAGAAAACAGTTGTGAGGCAACTGTCAACATTAAAGGGTCAACAAGGACTGTAGAGAGAAAATCCGAACATTTATATTTTTCTGAGCTATCAGGTCAATATTTCACTTAACACCTTCTTTGACATACATATTTTCTAAAAATGTATGTATAAACTAACAATTTCAACATTAAGAAGTGTAAATTCAGTTAAAAGCTTCTATAAAGGGAGTCCCACTTATAGATTTATAAGATCCAGTACGTTTCAAGAGAAATATCAGCTAAAATAATGTTCATCCAGGGGGTTTCTTTGTAGATAATGAAAATATATGTTAGTCTTGATGAAATATCAAAACTTAAATATATTTTGACACTGGCCGATGATCGTTGAATGGCCCCCCTGCACTAATTGTTGCACCTTTAAAGTTTATCATAAGAAATGCACGTTTTTTATTAAAAAAGATTTTTCGGATAATCACAAGGATATTTATATTATGGATGAACTATGAGCACTGGGTTTTAGGAGGAATAATAGCCAAGTTGCAATTTTAATAAAAGATAAACATATTAGCAGTTGTTCATTTGGCATCAAAAGGAGTGGAATATTTTCAGGAACAAAGAAGATCAGACCTAGTTCTAGTTAGTCCAGTGAGAAGAACCAAAGATAAACAGAAAGAAAGAAGTGCAATTAAAAGATTAAAGGTCAGTTCATACATTAATCATGTTCATTTTTGTAAAATCAATCTCCTTGATTCATTTATTAATTCATGAAGAAAATACGTAATAGAATACTGTAAACTGTTTAAAATAGAAACATTGCCATGTTGGCAATCATAATAAGTAATTGCTTGATGATAAACGTCTACCAATGTCTATAGATTAAAAATCAAAATTTGTTTAACTTTTGTTTTGTATTTACTCATTGGATCATAGTGATTATTTACAAGATTCTAAATATGTTGCCCTGGAGAAGTATAAATTGATTTGGCTTATCAAATATAGGGTGAACTAGAAGATCGCAGAGATGAACTAGAGGGACTGGATCTTGCAATAGAGTCACAAAAGGCAAATCTTCAATTTATGAAGGAGGAGGAAAGAAAGTTGGGAAATGAAAAGGAGGCTGCCAACAGAGAGTTAAATGACTTGAGGAGAGCTAATGCACTAATCAACCAGAGAAGGTATGTTTAGCCAGGGGATCAGTGTTTTATTGTTTCATCCAGCTCTGTCAAGACTTGAAGCTGAATTGTTTGTTAATGATGCAGTATGACAACTATAATTGCAAATTTACTGTTATGCCATATAGATATACCAAAGGCCTAAGAAATTTTATTGTATAAATCCTGTCAGTCTAGTGTGATTCTTATATGTGTCTGTACTGGTCTACAAAAATTGCAATTGTTTCAGAGAGTATCTCGAGAGCAGACTGGATGCAGAAACTGAAGAATCTGATTATGACTTAGACGAGGAGTACAGAGATCAAACCCTGCGTGGAAGGCAGAAATATCTCCTGAATGAGGTCAAATGTTTGGAGACAACATTGGCAAAACGTCGTGCAGAATTAAGACAATCTGACAGACTTTTAGCAGAGTGTCAAAGTGACTTGGCAGCTGCTAGGAATGAGGTAAATGTTCATAACTATAGATATTACTTCCGCACATTTAAATAATTTATGTGCATGTGTTGCGGATTCTGCATTTATCCTCCAATAGCAACTGTGTGGATGTTAAAAAACAAGATGTAGAGTTAAAGAACAGACATTTCTGGTAGGATATCAGTGTATGTTTCACCACCAATGACAAAAGTTCTTTGGACAACAATATGATATGTTGAGAATATAGCAGAGAATTTGATAGTAGTTGGGAAAGAACTTGTATATTTTTCTTAAATTAAACCTTCCCCTCTTCCTTCTTCCAAAGGCAATGGTTACAGTACAGAAATATGACACTGCGAAGGCTGAGCTTGGGACCACAATGCAAGAAGTTACTGAAATAGACAGAAGAGCAGACGTTGCTGGTAAAGAACTGATTGAGCTAACAGAGAAGGTGAAGAGTCTACAAGAAGAGGTGGAATTCCTTGAGACAAAAAGGTCTGAACAAGAGGAAACCCTAGCTGGAATCAATAAGGTAGGCCTAACAGATGTTTTACTCATGGTAATTCTTCAAAATGTTTCCTTTGACATGAGCATTATTAATATTGTAATATTTTTAATATTTTACAATTAATAACATACTTTTTAAACATGTGCCACATTATTTGGTTTAGGAGAAAATACATATTTGTCATCTGACATGTTTAACATAGTCAAAATGAGGTAATACATGTACTTTATCTATAAAACTACTTACCATTGAAAAATTTGTATTAAGGTGATTACATCTAAGGATGCTGAATTCCAACAGCTTGATAGAATTTTGCAGAAAACCAAGGAAAGGTAAGAATGTTTCCATTCATGATTTAGTCAGACACATTTGAATTGCTGGGATAAATTTAAGACAATTTAAGACGCTCTTTCTTTGCTTTGTCAAAAAAGAAATGACATCCACGCACTACATCTGAAATTCATGTCAAGGTAATTTATATATTTTACTGGTCATGTCCTGTCTGTCAATGAACTACAGTTAACATTGGCTTTTATCATTGAGTAATTTTACAGCCACATGGAACTCCAGGAGGAAATAGAACAAGTAAAGTTACTAGAGGAAGACAAACTCAACTTTCTTCGTGAGAGTGAGGAGATGTTAAACAATAGAAAAGCTGAACTAGCTAAAACATCAGACCATGTAAGTTATCCAGTTGGTTTGACTATTCTTCTATGTTGTCCTTGGTATGGAAGAAATTTATGCCTCAATTGATTCAAATATTAGACCATGTATATTAGGTCATGAAGGATTGGTTAGTTTTTCTTCAGGTTTTATTGTATTCATTAGCATGTGTCTGGTACTTTTTCAACATTTTCATTATGGTATATTTTATTTTCTAGATTGAGAGCGAGAGAGGGGAGCTTGAACACATTGATAGAGAAGTAGGTAAAAAAGCTACAGAGCTAGCACAACTTGAGAATCAACAAAGTGATAAAAATAAGGAACTAGCTCAGCTTGGAAAGGAAGTGGAATCAGAGATCAATGCACGTCGGCATGAGATTCAGGTATTTTAACTTTTAAACAAATTGAAAGGAATAAGTACAATATCAAAAAAGCCTTTTCATGTTGACATAAAGTTTTAGCCATTGTTTTAGGACAGGCATTTAGAATTTGATATCAGTGATAAACAGTTAAGCCAGTGCCATTTTTCTTGCAATGGATGATTTTAACATTTGCTTATTTAAATGACAAGGTAGCCTTCTGTAGAACAAGATATCTTCTACTACAGAGATTCATTTGTAAACATTTCACACCTGAATGATGTATGATATCAACTGTATATATCATCATTTAGGAAACTAGTGAAGTTCTAAGTGGTCTCCACCAACAAGAGGAACAGATGTCTTCTGCTATACAAGATAAAAAATCACATCTACATGATTTAGAACTTGATATAAAAGATCAGGAAGCAAATTTAGAACATCTTGATGGTACTCTGACAAAGCATAAAATGGAACTTAAGTCTGTATTAGAATCATTACGTGATGCTAAAGTGGATGAAGAAAAGTTAAAAGAGTCAAATTCAGCATCACTTGCTGAGTTGGAAAAGTTAAGGGATGCAACATTAGAGGTTTGTACAGCCTGGGAACTTATGTTGAATGTTATTAACAGTAAAGTGGGAATTTAGATAATACTTATGTTGAATAAAACTGCCCTGGCAACTACAATGATTTAGAGGAACTCTGTACTTCAATGTGATGTTTACAATCTTATCGCAAAAAATCTAAAATGATACTGGAGGTTAAGCCCTGTTATTAAAATAAACTAGATTAAATGCACACTTAGAATTTTGTCTTAAATCAAAATGTATAATGCTTTTCACAAGGTTGCATGAATTGAATTCATCATTTTACAGAATTACTTACATCATTTGTAGGAAAAATCCCTATATAGCAATATTAATGATGCAGTCAACAAGAAGCAGCAAGAGAATGAACGACTGAAGCAATCAGTTGAAAGAGAACATATACGAGTGAAGGAACTCCAGACAGAGAGGGACACCTTGGTGGCTAACGTAGAATCTCTCACACAGCAGAAACATTATATACAAGACACTTCCAGAGACTTAGAGGCAAAGGTTGAACAGTTAAAAAAGTAAGCATTAATATTGTATTTTTACTAGAAGTATGTGATCATTGGAATGAAGTAGGTGTTGACTTAAAAAGAGAATCATGAGCTTGAACTTGAGGTTGAAAAAGTATTATCTCTTTGAAGTTCAATTAGTAATGTAGGGAATATTTGTTGGCCAGACAATAACTCAAATGCCTGTCAATGGATTTGGTTGATAACTTGATTTGGTAGATATATGTCTTAACAGAAATGAAACTATGAAGCTAAATTACATTTTATTTATTCTCAAAATCTGCCCAAAAGAAACTACATATAATTGAAATTCAAGATTCTGCGTCTCTATAGTTCATTGCGAATTTAGTCCACTCTGATAGAATTGTAAATTATTTGAAATTAATAACACATACATATTCTCCAAAAGATAATTGAAAGGTATAATTGTTGTATATTTGAATAATTTTTCAAAACGTTTCCAGATATTGGAAAAAGTTGTATAATTCCCTAATCAATGTACATATTTTCTTTTTTAATCAGGAGGTATAATCAGATTGAAGACAAGATAGCAACAGAACAGACTCGACATGATGTGTTGCATGGTGAAGTAACACAGAGAGAGGCTGAGCTTGAAGAGATGACATCATTAAAATCAGCACTTCAGCGTGACCTCCAGTCATTAAGAAAACATGTGAAAGGTGTATTATCCTACTACATATGTCATCTCTTACAGTTCTTTAGAACATTAGAAATATTGAACAACATGGTTTTAGTTGTTTCACCAAAGGGAGAAGGCTACATGTACATTCAATGTATTATGAAACACCGTTGGTCTTGGTAAAAGTTCTTATTTAATTGCAAGTACCATCACTTCATATATTTTCTTAATGATAGTCTTCAAAACAAAGTTTCCTGATATGTAGTTTAAAAAACATTAATGTAATGTGTGTTAATATTTCAGACCAGAAAGTTGAGGCAAGATCCAAACAGGATGAACTAGATGAGGTCAAGGAAACACATAGTGATCTAGAAGAGGTATGGTATTGAAATATATTTTTGTTATTAATTTATTTGACTAATGCGTACTGATATGTCAATAGCCAAAAATAACCAATTACTTCCATTTTCAGGATTTGAAACTCCTAACCAGTCAGAAGCAAGAGATGTCATTAGAAATTACTGCCATGCGAGACACAATCAGAAATCTTCAAGCCCAATGTGATGAAAACCTCAGAGAGAAGGATCGTAGCGAATTACAGTTAGAGGATGTCAAGAGACAAATTGCAGATTTACAACAAAAAAATCTAGAGGGTAGAGAGGTGGGTCAATGGAAGAAAGTTATTTCCATATTGTTTTTACATTAGATAAGTCCCCTTATTGTAATGACATGATGCTGTAAAGGGATAGAAAGGTTACAAAATGTAATGTTTCATATTTTCCAGACATTATCTAGAGTTCGTGAGGTAGCTCGCAATGAGGAAACACGAATGACAGAGGTATTTTGTTCAGTTTATTTTATAAAACCGCAGTCAAATTTTGATTACAGCAGAAAAGTTTATACAAATCAAATGTGCACACAGAGGTATACAATATATATTTGTATTTGAACTCCATGTTTTATCTTATTAATGTGTCACATTTGTCGCAAATTGTTTTGAGCTTTTTTTAATCTTGGTTTTGCCAACTTTGTTTTAATTACATGCATGTTTTTACTTTTTTTTTCATTTTAAGTTTTTACACATTTTGCATATGTGCACGACAATGCATCGTGGTGTTATTTTGCTATTATTTTTGCCTGCTACTAATGTTCAATGTTTGTTTTGTACATGGCTTACCTCATTTGAATGATATCACTTTTGTAAGATAATTCTTAATACTTATCCCACTATAGTATTGAATAGGCACTGTTTGTTTGGGTGTCCCGTTTTGGTTCATTTCTATCTGTATACCAACTGCCACACCTACCCTTATGTAAAAGGTGTTGATTTGATCATTTAAATATTCAACTGGATTGTAATTCCTTTTGGAAAATCCTCAAAAGTTGGTGATTGGTATAAAAATGGTGTATTTTGAACCACTGGTAACTTCTTTAATCCTGTATTGAATAAATGTCTTCAAATGTCTTGAAATACAACCATCCATCATTTGAGCTGTTATTTACATATGGTTATTCTGCATTGTTACAAAAATAGCATTCAAATGCTTTTCCCTAAAATCAGTCTCACTCAAAATATATCATGCATTAAAGTGGTATACAGATCAAGCATACTCACATCTTAATAGGTATGCTGTATCTGCATTCCAAATATTTCTTAAGTTCCTCAAGTATGCCATTCAGTTTATGTGTGTTACTAATATATCTGTTATTGCAATTTTACGAGGTTCCTCTTTTTTGATTGTTTTTATTCACATTTGTGCACCTTCACTTCAGTTGCTTAGCTCGGCCAATAGGGATCTTTGCAGCATTCAGTCTGAAACTGCTCTCCATAAAGATGAATTGCAACGCACTAATGCACAGCTTGAAAACACAAAGGTAGAAATGGAACACAATTTTTTATTTCATACACATTCATTTTTACATTTTATTATATTATTTCATATCATTATCCTCATTTCATTTTGACATTGTTCATTTAATGCACTGCATTTTCTCACCTTCTTTGTTTTACATGCATACATATTCGAAGTGTGTTAATCTCACGCATTAGATTGATAAATTGTACCTGGACTGAGTATCTTGGAGTTAGGCAAAGTAATCCTTGAGATCAGGTCTTTTTATATTTTTAAGGTTTATTGTGAAGTAAAAGGGTCTGCAATTTTGATCCAAATAAATTATTTCTTTTCTGAAAAGTATCATATCTTTCAAATCACATGCCTAGTAAGTAGAAATTTAAATTGTAAAATATCATGGTTTTACTATGGTCATGAGTGATTTTTATATATTCACACATAGCTAGTCAAATAGTGTTCAATTCAAGCCAATCAAACCTTGTCTCAAAGAGATAATTTGCCAGTTATGTTATTAAGCCAAGGTATGACTTTGAAGTATAATTTTATAAATGCACAAACCTGTCACCTGAATTTAAACTCATTAGGATGTATCATGTTCGTTTTAGACTGAGTTAACTACACTCGGGAGAACACAGGAGAAATACATTCAGTTAGAATCCAGAGTCAAGGATCTGGGTAGGTCATATCTACAATATATCAAATTGACATAGCCTAGAAGAAAGTATATGTGGATTCTAAATAATTCATATTTAGTGGAAATATAGAAATTAACTTCACACTGTTAAAAAGTTGTAAAAAATGGAATTTAAAAAATAAGTTTATGGGGATATAGTAAGATATAATATATTTACCTTAACATAAGACAACAGAGACAATTTAATTATTCATGTTAACAGGAGTGGATTTTGAAAATTAAGTTTTTTTATATATATATAGTGAGTTGTGTAATGTCTCAGCTTTTTATCCCACCGAACGAAGTTCGAGGGGGATATAGAAAAGCTGTCCGTCCGTTCGTCCGTCCGTCCGTCCGTTCGTGTGTCTGGGCAATAACTCAAATACCGGTTGACGGATTTCATTCAAATTCTATAGGCTTATGCCTTATGGGTGTAGGACCTCTGCTCGAGAAAGAATTTTCAATATGGCCACTAAATTCAAAATGGCGGCCATTTTTCAGAAAAATACTATCTTTGATTGCTCACATACTAGTGGATGGATTTGGTTCAAATTTTATATGCTGTTGCTCAGGTACAAAGGAGCCTTGCTGAAGAAGACATTTTCAAGATGGCCACCATATTTCAAAATGGCGGCCATTTTTCGTAAAAAAAAGTTATCTTTGATAGCTCAAATACCATTGAATGGATTTGGTTCAAATTTTACATGCTGATGCCAAGCGACATTGGAGCTCTGTTTGAGAAGGGATTTTCAAGATGGCAGCTAAATTTCAAAATGGCCGCCATTTTTCATAAAAGAATGTAACCTTTGATAAAAGTACCAGTTGATAGATTTGGATTAAATACATATGCTGATGCCTTTGGACATAGGAGCTCTGCTAAAGGAGAAATCTAAAGACAACAGCTGAATTTCAAAATGGCAACCATGTTTCATAAAAACACAGTCTTTGATAATTCAAATACCAGTGGATGGATTTGGCTCAAATTTTATATGGCTGCTATTTACCAAACAAATATTATATGGCTGCTATTTACCAAAACATGTTTTGTTCGGTGGGATTTGCTACTCCGTGGAGTTTTTCTAGTTAGCAAATAAAACAGTTATTTTAATAAAAAGGTTGTTTAAAGTGACAGTGTTTTTCTTCAATGTTAGAGATAAGTCAAAGCTCCTAGATCCTAAAAATTTTCATTCAGAACAAGAAATAGTTGAGAGGACCACTGAAAAGAACCAGTTATCCGAGGCCTTGAATATGTCTTATGTAGAGCTACAGAATTTAAGAGCACAGATAACACAGGTAGGTTTAAATTGATTGTTAATATGATCCTGGTTGGACAATATTTGGACTTTTTTTTTATTATTATGATATGTACAAATCAGTGTAACTTTTATAAGATTTGAAATAATATATTACACATACTATGGACACATTGGTATATCTCTGCCTAGGGGGGGGGGGGCATACTTTCAGGACACCCTGTAAATGATATATTTCATGAATAGTCTGAGTTAATCAACCAAATTCCTTTTGCTGTTTGAAGATTATAAAATATTAAAAATGTAAAAGAAATTCTGAAAATGTTATCTTTATAATTGAACTATATCTACTATGTTAATGTTTTACTACTTTTACAACACGTTGCTTAAACTATTTTCATTTTATTTCCATTATATAGGATGGTGTCTTGAGGAT